TCTAGTTCACCTGTGCCCAGGGCTGGTCGTGTTTGCAGGTACAGTAAACCCTCAGTATGACAGGCTTCGTGTAACTGTCCGTAAAAAAAATTCCCTCAGGGGACAATAAAAATCATTAAAAAAAAACTGTGTGTACTGTGGATTAAACAGACAAAATCTGTTAAAGCAGAATTTTGTCTGTAGAATCAGAAATGCCTTTCCTTTCCCTGAAATAATGAGAAAATGCACAAATATTAAAATAAGGTTAAAATAGTTTTAATAATAAAATTCAGGAATATCAATGGAGCACTATAGGGGTAGCTCACTTGCCTGGTGGGTTTCTTAACCTTCTTAACCTCATTAAAAATGACAGGCTAAACATAACACCAACTCCATCATCAAGTTTGCGTATAACACCACAGTTGTAGGTCTGATCAAAGACAATGATGAGAGGGCCTACAGGAAGGAAGTCAATCTCCAACAACCTCACCCTCAATGTCAGCAAAACCAAGGAGCTGATCGTTGATTTCAGAAAACAGCAAAATGGTCATGCCCCTATCCACATCAACGGGACTGAAGTGGAAAGGGTCAGTAACGTCACATTCTTTTGCATCCATACTGTATCACCAAGAACCTCACATGGTCTCTCAATGCTACTTGTCTGATTAAGAAAGCGCAACAGCACCTTTACTTCCTAAGACAGTTGTGCGGCTGACTAGAAGAAAGTCTCTATGCACAGAGGGCGACCGCGGGTCCGATCAAGTCACTCTTTAGGGGGAAGAAACTTGGTTTGCTGCTGGTGTAGCGCTGCTGCTAAATTATAATTTAACTAACAAACATTAACATAACAGCCTAGTCTAGCACAGCAGCAACAGAAAGAGCCATTAAAGGGAATTATTTACTCACATTTAAATATGTATAATGAAACAATATGTCGCCTTGCACATTGAGGGGTCCCCTGGAGATCTCAGGTCTCCAGGCAGTCCCCTAGTTCACCTGTGCCCAGGGTAAGTCCTGTTTGCAGGTACAGTAAACCCTCAGTTTGACAGGCTTCTCGTAACACACTGTGGATTAAACACACAAAATCTGTTGAAAGGGTATTTTGTTTGTAAAATCAGAAATGCCTTTCCTTTCCCTACAATAATGAGGGAATTCACAAATATTAAAATAAGGTTAAAATAGTTTGAAAAATAAAATTCAGGAATATCAGTGAATCTTATACAGTACAGTATATTTATGACACATTAAATATAGAGCTTGTACTGTATATTTATGACATAAGATAATTTTCATTGTGATGATTGTAATTCTTAAAAAAATAAGTCAAAAGAAACAGAAAACAAATATTTTAGTATAATCTATATATA